CCTCCTGCTTCTTCTCTCTACTTCCTACTCTCTTCTCACTCTTGTTCTTTCTTCCTCCTGCTATCTCTCTCTCTCTCTCTATCTCTCTCTCTCTCTCTCTGCTCTCTCTCTCGTCTCTCTCATCTTATCTCTCTCTCTCTCTCTCTCTCTCTCTCTCTCTCCTCTCTCTCTCTCTCTCTCCTCTCTCTCTCTCTCTCTCTCTCTCTCTCTTCTCTCCCTTCTTCTCCTGTCTCTCCTTCTTGTCATTTATGCATTAAATCAATCATTTAATTAAAAACCTTTTTAAAAAGCTGCCTTCAATTTAAAATGGGATAAAAATATAACTCGGGACTCCACAGAATAGAGTCAAATGATATTCATCACATTCAATGGGGTTAGGGATTGGCGTTCATTGGCGTTTGGATACATGTTCGCCTCCTCAAACTCCATGATCACTCTGGCCACCTTTGGTCCGGCGACCATCCAGCGCCTCAGAGCACTGCGATTGTCTGTAAGGCCAACGGCACTTCCGTCACCCTTGACACGGGCATTAATTATTATGTGCATGCGCTTGGTCAAGAGGAATTGCTGAGAATGCCCTCTTGGTCTTTTGCAATGTGAAGTGGCCTGCCTTGAAAACATTGTAGATCTCTGGGTGCTGTTGTGGAGTTCTGCCATGTCACGCAGATAGACCGGTATCCACCGGGCATAGTTTATATGGTCCAGCGCGAAGAACCATGGGACTATCTCAGTTAGAGCATCCAAGTACATGCTGAAATCTGCCTCTCTCACAGATCGCACATAGATTAGGATGGAGAGCTCCAGATCCAGGACTGTTGCCCAGTGCAAAAACTGGGGAGAGCTCTTCTCTTTCTCATGGCACCAGTCTTCGAAATCCTCGGGAGGATGGTCATCTTCTGCACTGGCGCTGTGCTTATCGTATGCACGTCGTTGGAGTATGTACAAGGCAGCCGCTGTGACATGGTGTGCCCTTCTTGTGCGTGTGACGTGCGAGGCCCGAAGAAAGGAGTCAGTGGTTACTGCAGTAGCTATTTCTGCCTGTGCGAGTGCATGTGTCCACCCGCTTCCCTGCAACCAGTCGCCTAGTGTCTTTAATGCTGCCATCTCGATATGCAGGCCTCCGAACATCACCACCAGTTTGTCTTCCCCATGTGTTTTCGGCAACTTCCACTGTATCTGCTTCGCAAGAGCAAACAGTGGCTGGTCGAAAGCCACAACAGGCGTTTGGCCCGGGTTGAGATGCTCAATGGCATTTCTGACCACATCCATGGAGTGTCTAAGCATTGCGACCGCGTGTGCACTCTCATGGGACAGAGGAAGCAGTGAAGTTCGCGTGATGATAGCTTGACCTGGCTCCTGGTGGCTGGCATGGTATGCAGCCCATGTCTTCTGATAGACTCCGTCTGTGGTCACATCTCCAACTTCGAGCGCATTTCGCAGGTTCTCCAGCCACTCATACTCTTTCTCCTTATGCTCTGCAAAGCTGTCCCGTTTCAGAGAAGTCACGGAGGTGGCCGGTACTGTTGAGCCCTTGGCAGTGGGAGCAACGGATGGTACCTCAGTGTAGTACTTAGGTAGATGGTCAACAGTCCGTAATACAGCAGGCTCGCCAGTGACGACAATTCCACGCTCCACTCCTCCATCTGCACACATTGGTGTTGCATGAGAGAGATTCCTGTTCCATGGAACGAATTATTTGCTGTCGTGGAACTAGAATTGTGGTCGATGTTGTCCACAGCTACGGTCGTGAACACATTACCACGCAGGGTTGGCTTGCAGATCACTTGCTCTGTTTGGAACAGCTGACACGCCCGGTTTCCCATCTCTGCAGAAAGGCGCAGGAAACGGTCGTATGAGATGCTGAGACCCAGTCTGAAGAGCTTGTCCACTATTCCCCTCTTGCGAGGCCAATGTACATTGCCAGAGGAGTTTCCCGAGATGTGGCATGTCTGACAGCTGGATGTTCTTGCGTCTTTGTACCCACAGGAGAGGTGCTTCTTTTCTGCTTCTACTGATACTTGACACCGTTGAATTTCAGTAGTTGTGCAATGCACGAAGCTGCCTGTGTTGAAGGAGCATCTATTTGATTCTTGATGTTGGGTCCATGCAGCACCATATTTACCACTGCAAGTAGCACAGGTGGCACAGCCTCCTGCTGGCAGCCTTCCTTGAATGATACAGTGAATGAGTTAGCTTCCTCAAACATGTATCGACAAACGATCTGTGCAGCTCGAGCAAGGTGAACTACTTCACTGTCACAGTCCTACGCACAGGCTTTGCAAAGTGTTCTGAGCCGTGCCAGCAGTTCGTGGTCTCCAATTTGTGTTGCACACTGCCGCACACGCTGATCAATCTTGAAGGTGGTGGCGTCATGTAAGGTGTCCACACCAGACATTCCGCAGAAGAAGCATGAGGGTTGACTAGAGGTACTTGATTCTGCACTGCGTGACCTGCTGCACTTTCCTGGCACAGCATTGCCTACACCAGATGAGCTGCCTCCTGCTGGCCTCTTCTGTGCTCTTTGCAACTTTGAAGTATTATAACGAAGCATGCATCGTTTATGATATACAGCTTTGCAGGCAACCAATGTGGCCTCGATGCCCTCTCCTTCATCAAGTCTATCAAGCTGCAGCGTTATGGGTAATAAGCCCACTTCTCCAAGCTGCATCAGATTCCCGGCCAGTGTCTTGTACGCACTCCCTATGTTTGGGCGTTTCAAATTTGCTGGGCAAACAAGGGGCTCTGTATCCTCCTGGCATATGGCACACAGTTCCCAGTTTGTGTTGGACGGGCCAACAGACGCACGGTCCATGTAAAGATGCACTAGCTGGAACTTATTAGACATGGTCACTCTCGCTCGTGTTGACTCCGCTCCTGATGATGATCACTCCATATTATGCAGAGACATAAAACACCTTGTTACCACAATAATACAATTACTACTACATGGCTGCCAACTCTCACGCATTGACCGTGAGACTCAATTCTCTTTCTCTCTCTCTCCCTCCCTGCTCTCTCTCTCTCTCTCTCTCTCTCTCTCTCTCTCTCTCTCTCTCTCTCTCTTTCTCTCTCTCCTTCTGGTATTTATGCAATTAAATCAATCATTTAATTAAAAACCCTTTTTTAAAAGTGCTTCAATTAAAAAATGGGAAAAATATAAACTCGGGAACCCACAGAATAATACAAGTTTATTCTCCACCAGGATTATGCGTAAGCATCCAGAGTCCAGACAGCTGAAGTTATGGGTTCGGATTGAACGATTGATTGAAAAGCTACGAAACCAGTGAATATGCTGTGACACCTACCTCATACATCAGCACTCTCTCGTACAGACACTGGTTGGACACGATGTAATGCCTCACTTTCTCTGCCACATCTGTTTGCTTCCCCTGAAATGTGCGTGCATCGAGAAAATGTCGTCATCTCACTACATTATCAGGAAGGAAGCAAGCCAACTGCGGCTTAACTACAATACCGGCACTATGAATAATTTCTTCATCAAAAATTCTTCTACTGGAACACTGCCGAGTCAGCATTATCATTTATCCTTATCTTTATGTGCCTTGTATTTTCTCCCATAAGGTTGCTCATCGTAACATCATACCTCTTGAGATAGTGGCACTCCTACCAAAATGCTCTCTTCCGGTAGTTCATCACTGAATAAAGCAAATCCAGATTCCAGAATACAACACATAACTCAATAAATAATTAATTTTGTGATAAAAACTTACGTTGACTAATGCGACAGTTTCGAATCAACCTGTCTGTTTGCCTCTCTATCAAGCTGTTCTGGAAGTTGCTTGAAATCAACGCTATACGACTTTAAGTGACGATGTCATGAAATCGGTCAGATTATATATCTCTACCCTATCTCACGAGGAGGTGTGTTACTGCTACATAGCTATACCTGCCTTTGAACCATTCCCAAACCGGACCAGATCATGAGTAACTGTTTGATCATCTTTACCCGAGCAGAAACACCTCTCATGCTGTTCTGTCTTCGAAAATTAATAAAACAAAAACTACACATCTTTACCTGTCTGACTTATGATCGCTGGTTGACACACCCTCACTACTGCACTGACTACTCGAGGGTTGCTCTGTGTTGACACCGCTTGTCTCCGGCTGTACCACTGCACCGCCTGCAACAACACAGATGCAACGACGTCGGTATTTTTTCACTGCAATAAAAGTTCGGTGATCAGTTGGGGATTTTCAACGACCTTTGTCACGCAAACTGTTAGAATTTACTCTCATCTCTCTCGGAGTTTCCTTAAGAAAATCATAGCAAAAAGAAAGAATGACTCTAAAAGAGGAGGGCAACCCATCTACGCTGACGGTACACTTCTAAGAGTTCCCGTCAGAGAACCGCTTAAGGCGAGCATTTCTTATACAAACTGTCTAAAAAACATGCAATTATCTCAAATAAAAGTTTCTCGAATACACTACACTCTACACTACACACTACACTACAATACACTACACTACACACTACACTACAATAC